TAGAAATTAATCAAGGCAGTGAAAAAAGGAACTGAATAAGAGATGATTTAATCATATGAAATAAACAGCTGAAGTCTCTCAAAAAGAAAAAAGAAAAACAGAAATGGTGATTTTCTTGCAGTAGAGGGGAGGTAAAACTGAAATGAAAGTAATCAGGTAACTGTATGGAAAGAGATCTTAAGAATAATTTGAATGTAAAAGTATTTTTCCCAGGCTAAGACTGTGTTCCACACATGAAAAAAATTATACATTTCTACATATCATAATTTGTTCCCATAGATAAATTCACTCTGAAATAAATTCCTCTTGCCCATTACAGGAAGTTCACTTTGCTACTCCAAAACCAAGATTTAAAATATGTTTATCACTTAAGCCCACAGAATTTGACATAGCAAACTCAGAATTTGCTCATATTAACACAGCTCCAAAAACATGCTGTGTCATGACAGACCAGATGTCAAGTCACAGCCAAAACCAGCTTTATGTAACAATCAATTTCATCAGAGATGCCTGTCACAATGATCCAGACCAGTATTTTGCTTTGGTAATCCAACCCCTAGAGCCCAGATTTATCCAACAAAATTCATATATTCCTAGCAAAGGGCTAAGACTTCAGCAAGGATGAAAAAAAAGATGACTTACTACCCAGAGAAGTTAATGCTACTATCTTTAGAACACGGTTTCCTGGAACTACTCATCACAAAGGAAAATTATTTGACTGTTAGAATAAATGTGTCTCTGCAAGTCATTGACTACATTGATTATCCAAAAACTCATGAATTTCACTTGTTTTGCTTTTTTTTAAGAATTCTCTCCCACTCTCAACTCCTTTTGAGGAGATGAATATTCCCCCATAAGGCAAGAAGCAGGGAGTACCCCTCACTGTGGTACCTCTATAAGGAAAGATTCTCACAGAAAATGAACATTCCAGCAGAAAATGAAAAAGCTGCTAATTTCTGAGGAATAGATGCGATGGAGGTCACATATATAAAGGCACCAAAACAAATTCATTACCCCTGAGCAGGTGCAGAAGTCAAGTTCACCTCTGTGATAGACACCATTTGGGATGATGACACCATGCCAAGTGCAAGGTCCTACACCTGGGTCACAGCAATCCCAGGCACAGCTACAGCTTGGGCAGAGAAGAGATTCAGAGCAGCCCTGTGGAGAAGGACTTGGGGGTGTTGGTCGATGAGAAAATGAACATGAGCCAGCTTCAGTGTGCGCTCGCAGCCCAGAAAGCCAACCGTATCCTGGGCTGCATCAAAAGGAGCGTGACCAGCAGGTCGAAGGAGGTGATCCTGCCCCTCTACTCTGCTCTCATGAGACCTCACTTGGAGTATTGTGTGCAGTTCTGGTGTCCTCAACATAAAAAGGACATGGAACTGTTGGAACAAGTCCAGAGGAGGGCCATGAGGATGATCAGGGGACTGGAGCACCTCCTGTATGAAGATAGGCTGAGAAGGCTGGGGCTGTTCAGCCTGGAGAAGAGAAGGCTGCATGGAGACCTCATAGCAGCCTTCCAGTATCTGAAGGGGGCCTATAGGGATGCTGGGGAGGGACCTTTCATTAGGGACTGTAGTGACAGGACAAGGGGTAGCGGGTTCAAAATTAAACAGGGGAAGTTTAGATTGGATATAAGGAAGAAATTCTTCATTGTGAGGGTGGTGAGGCACTGGAATGGGTTGCCCATGGAAGTAGTGAATGCTCCATCCCTGGCAGTGTTCAAGGCCAGGTTGGACAGAGCCTTGGGTGACATGGTTTAGTGTGAGGTGTTCCTGCCCACGGCAGGGGGTTTGGAACTAGAGGATCTAAAGGTCCTTTCCAATCCTAACTATTCTATGATTCTGTGATCCAGGGTCTTCTGCCTCTAATGGCATCTAAAAGTGACTTTAGCACAGGACAGTGACTGAATATATAACTTCATTTAGAGAAAAAAAAAAAAAAGGAAAAAAGAAATCTAATAGTGAAGTAAATCTGCAGCTGGATTACAGCATTGGACAGACTTAATTTTGGTAGCTATGCACATATGACAACTGATGTACCGCACCAGATTAACGGAAGAAAACTGAAGAAAGCAAACCCCCCACTAGATACAAGAACATCACACAGAATAAATCCAAAGTCCTGCATCTGCAAACCCACCATACACTGCACCACCATCCTCCACTTTCTCTTCCAAAGGTTGGTTTGGTTTCTAATCACTTTGGTTTATACTGAGGCAATTCACTCTCACCTAACATTTTGTTCTGTATGCTCTTTGGGATAGAGAACACGGGTAAAAGACACAATTCAAAGACTGACACTGACTTTTAGGTTTAGCTTTAAAAAAAAAAAATAAACAAGGAAATGATTTTGAAACAGGCATGTATTTTGATACTTTGCCAAATCATTTCACCTATGAAGACCTGCTCCTATTTATTTCAGGAATATTTATTTTGCTATATGCTGATTATATTATAGAATGTAAACTATTAATTTCACAAATTAAAAGCCCGCAGAGGTTTCCAAGAAATTGGACAAGTAGATTTGGATCAGCACTTCATCATAAATCAGACATTTGGATAAACCCTGGATCTCTTTATTGTACCACTTGAGCACTATGTCCCTGGCAAAGCTATTCCACTGCATTTATATGCACCACTGCAGTGCAATAAAGCTTGCTAAATTAACACTGCATTTATAATTCTGTTTGTATTCAGTGAATAGAATGCTAAAAAACAAAGATTGGGTAACTCGGAGAATTAACTTTGGTGTAAACTCTAAGATCCTAGCAATTAAGAAAGGTAATGCCTACCAAGGGCCACATCCCATTGCACTGCATAAAAGGCTAATTGTTCACTTCCTTGAACTTTGTTTACATTAACTTTCTTTTTACTGTCTCTTTTCTAACATAAATTTGTCCATATTGCAGAACTGTCTTCCATACTGCAACGCTAATTTAGGTGATTGATTGGCTCATCTTGTTTCAAAAGAGATCTAGAAACAAAGCATCACAAGCCTGGAAGGCACAGACAGCACCAGCAGATTTGCCACCCAATGAACCAGGACTGCTCATGTATCGTCTCCCACGGCCACACAGTCCCAAAAACTACTAAGTAAAAAATTAAGCAAAAAGTCATTCACTGATCTGTATCACCAGCTGATGAAAACATCAAACTCTGAAAAGGTTCTGAAAACAACTTTGCTGATAGAGTAATTCATCGTTAACTACAACTTAGAAGAAGTTACACACTTTAACAAAAGTAGCAATGAGATTTCGTTAGAGTGTTAAGATTTTTAAAATTATGTTGTTATAATTAATACAAATTGAACAGCATAACAAAATTACCAACACTGAGAAAACAACCACAGTAGTTCCAATTCATTGTTCCTTCATATGTTGAAAAAATTAAGTATCTTTTTTGAATTAAGTCTATAGCTCCTTTGACACCAAAGGGATTTTTTAAAAAAATCAAATTAATTCCAACCTTTAATCACAGTTATTTTACCTCAAAATATGTAAATGTCACCAGAGGATAATATACTGAGTTCTTTCATGAAAAGCAAAGCCATCGTTTGAGTTGTTTTTCCTGAATACCATTCTGTGGCTTGCCCCAGACAAATTTCAGGAGATATCTGGAAGCAGCTGGAAGTTAGTTCACCACAAAAGGCTGCTATACTGTTCTGATGGTTTACTTTATGCTCTATACACTGCAGCCACTACACTGACAAAAGCCAACATGAATTTAAACTATGTTCCAGAGCAAGCCTAGAAAAATGTGTGTTGAACAGAAGTGAAAGAGGTTTTATGCATTTCAGTGATGCAGAGATCTATATGCAAACTTCTCTCCTTGAAGTCTGCAATACTGGATTAATTAAATGCTACTTGCTAGATATACCCAACTGCTGCAGCTAGGCTAACAGCAGTATCTAATTTAGAACTAGTTCAGGTAACTCCATGCTATACTATAGGCAGTAAGGAAATGAGATATAGTTGGATCGGATTCAGAACTCAGATTTAAATTTCTGTATTTGTAAGCTCAAATCAAAATTGCTCCTCATTCATATCAGTGGAAAACTATAGGACCTTGTTTCTAGGAAACAAATTCAGATTTCATATCACTTGTAACTTAACCTCTCTCACCCCAGTAAAAAAAAAGTTTTCTTCAGTCAGGTTTACTACAGCAAAAAGAGCACAGTTAGTATCAGTTTTATAATGCCATCATATAACAGGAGCTATAAAATATTTTCCTGTATCATAATCCTGCTTCTTTGATCCTGCTCACTGGCAAGAGCTCACACTAACATGGGCAACACTTACCACTCTGGAAGAGTCACTGCAGTTACCTGCAAGCAGTCCTAAGTTACAGCTGGGACAGCAGAGAAAGCACAGCCCCTGCATAGAGCAGCTTTGCTACTCATCTGTCCAGACTAAAACCCTGCCTGGTCAGGTCTAAACCAAATTTTAAGCCACTGCCAAACACTAGTTTTTAATATGACTCTAAAGCAAAGCCCTTAACACCCTGCTAATGGAGTGGAGGATTTTTACATTCTTAACTGTTAGTTTCTGTCACACAGTTCACAAGTAAACAGTAACAACAACAACAAACACACTACCATAAATGAAAAATGATACAAACCACAGTACAGACTAAACAGACCTGCCACTCAAAGATTTCACTGAATTTTTGGACAAACTCAATACCTGCTCTGATTTATGCTAGCCACCGTTCTGTGACCATTGTCTCCTTCACAGCACAGGAAATACAGTCCTCACAGTCCCTAGATTTATTTAGCTTACTCAGTGTATTTTGCTTATGAACAGAAGTGGAGAATAAATTTCATTTTTGTTATAGATGCACAGGTACATAAATTACATGCAATATGCTGTAAACTTAATATATTGAAGAGTGACTGGAACTGTTATCACAGCTAAAGCGCTTTAAAACCTGGAGATAAAAAAGTATAACTTTTATAGTGATGTGCATTAAAAATTGGCAAACATGTTAGGCTCTTACCAGGAATGGACTCCAGCAAATGCAAGAAACACACATTATAGCCAAGAGCTGAATGATCATTTCAAAATGATGAGATCTGCCTTGTCTTTGTTGACTTTTAAATTTGACTCTTAAGAGAGTAATTCCTGTGACTGCATTGCACAAGAATGAAACAGCAAGGGCCAGTAACCCAAGGCAAGAAAAAAGTAAGAGATAAAATCTGTCTTCCCAGTCCTCAACATGTTCTGTTTTATAGAAGCACCAGGTCCTCGATGCTTGAATTTGATAGGCTCTAAACCTAAGAACAGGCAGCAAAGCTATAAGAACAGCAAACAGACATACCATAGTCAACATCATTTTCACATGTTTAGAAGTCATTTTTGTAGAGTGAAATATTGGCTTAGTGACTCCAATGCACCTTTCAACAGCCATCACACTGCCCAGGAAAAGTGGGCACAAACCAAAGAAAACCATGCAGATGCCAAAAACACTGCAAAGAATGTTGGACTGATTAAATCGAATCCAGTCTTTATCCGATGCATACACAAACACTGCAATGGCTCCGTTGATGAGGTGGCCAAAGAGATCTGTGACGACCAAGCCGCTAGCGAGAAGCAAAAAGGAGGCTTTGGATTTCTGTCTAAATCTCTGATATGCCTTCAGGAGAATTGCTATTGCAAGACTGTTGGACAGAATTCCCACTGTCATGAAGATGATTGAAAAGAAAACTGAAATCTTCTTCTCTGTATGGCAGGTTGTGTTTTTCAAGATTCCAAATCCAGCCAGCCCTAGCGATTTTGAACTGTTCATGGTTAGGAAAGGAGAAGCAGCTCTCAAAACATTTCAGCTGTCTTGCAATCAAAAGACATCTGCAATATTAAAAACAAATATACGCACAGTGTAAAAGGCATGCCACTGTTCAAATGACATTTGAAGCAGAAATTCCATACTATTAGTCTGTGGTACAAATTTAATTTTCTGGTTTTCTGAGTGATATGATATGGCATCATATTTTAAGTGCATCAGTCACAGGATAAAACAATTATCTGCATGGATTATATAATGCAGAAAGATTGTACAGTATCTTTATAGTTTCTGCACATAGTAAGATAAACAAAATACTGTATAAGATACATAATGCTCATGTACATATAATCAGAGAAACCACCAAAATATTCTGGTGGTTAAACTATAACAAATATTTTTGCGACATTTACTTATCCTATTTGGATAATATCCTATAATGATAAATAAGCATTTATCAGCCAAAGTAAGAAGTTAAATACTCAAAACTGGAATGCTTGGAGATGATAATCACACTCCAGTTCTCTACTCACTGTTAAGCATTTATTTTCAAAATAATGTCCTAGCACTTTCCAAGTAATTCTCACAATCCAGTGTTTTTAAGCTTTAACGTAACCAACGTTTAAGTCTCCAACTCCCCAGTGCCCTCACTGAGGCACAAACTTGCATTTTAGACGCTCCCTTACTCAAAGCCAATTCTGCAAGTTACTTCACACTTTATCTCCCATCTCTACTCAGGACATTCCCGCTACTGAAAACTTCCCATGCAGAAAGAAACAGCAGGCTTTCAGATCGCCCGTCACATAGAGGTGCTGAAGTTTCCCAACTACTGAGCTGGATCAGAAACCGGGCAAGCCGGAGCCAGCGGTACTTCCACCGTTCGGGACGGCTGAAGGGGAGACCCCCCCGGCGCGCTCCTCGGGCGGAGGGGAGAGGCGCGGGGCAGAGCCTGTCCTGTCCCGTCCCGTCCCGTCCCGTCCCAACTCCCCGCAGCGCGGCAGCCGCGCTAGGAGCGAGCCCCCACAGCCGCGCGAGCACGTGGGTATCGCCGGTGAACCGGGGAGCACCCGAGGTACCAGCACTCACACACCCCACACACCCCCCACCGTCCTTCGCCAGCGGCCTTAAGTGCGCGCCGGTGCCGCCGCCGCCGCCGCCAAGGGCGGGGCGAGCCCGCCTCGCAGGGCACAAGTGCCACCGGCCGCTGCCGGTTACCGGCGCTAACACGGCTTCGCGCCGCCTCCCTGTGCCGTCGCACCCCGCAGAGCTCCCACCGCCCGGTCCAGCTGGCGGGCACCGCTCCTTCGCCGCCCCTGTCCGTTGCCGCTCACCTCTCCTTCCCTGCGCGGCACCAGGGAGAAACGCAGCGGCGCAGCACGGTACACAGCCCGCCGCTGCCTCCCGGCCCGCCGCCGCCACCGCCCCCCCATCTCCGCCCGCCTCCCGCCCTCCCTCCGCCTGCCCTCCCGGCCTTCCGCCCTCCCTCGCTGCCCGCGGACGGTCCGTCCCGCTGCCCGCCCCCGTCTTCCCGCGGGGACAGTGCCGTCGCGCCGCGGGGGTCGCTCCTGCTCCCCGCCCGTCCCCCACCCCGTGCTGTGCAGGGGACCTGGGGGCTCCGACTTCGCACGGGGACCCGGCACCTACTCGTCCCCACCGAGCCACAGCGTTCCCGTGCCTGGCCCCTCTGGAGAAGGCTGCGGGGCGATGCGGACGGCCCGGGGGTGCCTGGCTCTGTGCCGAGAAGGTGGCGACCCCGAGCTCCGGCCTTCCGCCGCTGCAGGAGCAGAGAGAGGTGCAGGGAATTCGTCCTTCGCACACCAGCGCGGAGCATCCTGCCTTGCTGTGCCGGAGTGCAGAGGGGTGACTCCGTCAGGGAGGACCCGGCAACACGCCACCCCAGCCAGGCAGGGTGAGTTCTTGCCCACGGTTGTGCCGCCACAGAGAGTGAGGCAAACCACGAGAGCGCATGTGTTCTCATCTAGAGGCTGTTCCTTCGCTTTCTATGTGCCCAGCTATCTGTCCAGTTTCTGTGTGCCCGGTCACCGTCTTTACCAGCGCACAGGGAGCTCAGGAGGAGACAGCCCCCAGGAACACTGCCATGGCACATAGCAGTAGGCATCGTGTGCTTACCGGGTTGTGTAGAGCAAACAGCGCTCCTTGGACCTTATCTCCACTGGAGCACGAGATGGTGGTCAAATGAGGAGTTAATGGTACTACCATAAGGCTAGAGATACAAAGGTCTTAGTTTCCCATCGTGTACTTGGGCTGTTACAACTTGAATTTACAGGTAATTTCTAAATTCTCTTATCCATCAATGTTCAGGACTATCAAACAGGCCTAAAGGGGATTTTTATTAAAAACTGTTATTACAGGAATAAGCCAAAATATAAAATCAAGGTCAAAACAAAATCAAACTGCAAAATATTACATGGGCAAGAACGATGGAGAACTTGTATTTGTTTCCATTGAGACACAGTCTTGAGCTGTAACACTCATAGCTCTCTCCGCATGGTGATTACTTAAAAATTAAAATTCTTAAACATGTTACAGTTTTTGCTTACCCTCATATGGTGAATACTGTGGCTACAATTTGCCTCTCCCTAATCCACCAGTGAGGTAGTACAGTCCAGCTAAATCCATTCTTTCAAGTAGTATCTCAAGGTACATAAACAACTAAAATCACCATGCAATGGCCTTCCTACTCAAAATGCTTGTCAGATTTTGGAATCTTATCATACAAGCAAAAATAATCAGCTTGGTCTGGTTGGGACCTATACTTTCCCATGAATTATTTTTTTAAGGCAACAATAAAACATAAAAACATCCCAAAATACATTATTGCCCATTAAAGTTCACAGCAAAAGGGTTTATTTTGTGTTTTCCTGCCCAGAAATAAATGGAGATGGAGATCTCAAACTACAGACAGCTTGCACCGTGCCCTTCTTTCATAGCCAGATTTCTTCACCCTTCCTTCAAGAAGGGTGATTGTGTTTGAAAAGAAGCAATGAATTTGGTACTTCAAGATCATGCAGTCTGGGAGGTAGAAGCTAAAACACTATTGTCATGTACCTCCAGTCAAAGAGAAAAAGAGAATAACCTCAAGACATGTTTCAGTGTGCTTGTAAAAATGTGGTTAGATTAATGAAGGAAAACACCGAGAAAAGCAGTGGTCTGCCAAAAGGAGGGACAATGACATTTCACTTGCTGCAGAGATGAGGAAAGGAGAGCAAGAAAGACTGTTAGGAAGGTAAATATATAAACTTCCATCTCTCTTTTCAGACAGTAGGCATAGAGGGGTGCTCCTGTACCTGTACAACTTGCAGGGCACAGAGTGCCACAACACAGTTTTGTACTGTTTGCAAAGCAGCAGGCAATGTTAAGCATCACTGTAAACAGAACAGTATATCTTCAGCTCAGCCCTGTACATGTTTCTCTGCTTCTGATACAAGAATGACTGAAATAATGGTCTCTTTGGAATGGGGTGATTTATGGCTAAGTGGGATGGTAACTTCAGAATGTGGTGGATGAGCAAAAACTCCAATCACACCATCAGAAGGAAGTTTTTCATACTGTCTAATGGACGCCTCTTTTCATTCCCTGCCACTAATGGAAACAACAGTGACCAAAATTGTCCCATCACAGCCTCTGCTGTGGGTCATGGCTGGGGAGCCACTGCTTTCTCAGGGGGAGCAAACTCTTCACAGGTCATGCACCTGAGCCAGAGCTGCAGGAAGGGAAAGATTAATGTCATCTTCACTAGGGCAGTGGCTTTTCCTCTCATCAACAGTTTGGCAATCAACCAATATGGACCTGGGCTTGCTAGATCCCTTATATGGCTGAAACCAAAAGCTATAGGTGTACAAAAGCTATAGTCACATGAGAGTGTTTCTTAGAGGCTGTGCTGCTCAAAAGCCACAAAAGACTGAGGAACTGAAGAAGTGCCATTGGCTTGGCTTACAGACTTCATTCAGCCCTTCCAGCCTGCGCAGTGGATTTTTTAGGTGAGGCGCAGCATGCACAGAACTGGCCCCAACCTTTACAGCTGAGGTTTAATTGCCACAGCCTAGCTAGCTAGGATGGTGACAGCAAAGTCCACAGGTCGTGGGTTTTGTAAGAGTGTCCTTGTCTATGATGGAAGACCATACAAGGCTAGACGAGCTCCATCTGCCCGGGTTTGAAGATAGAAGTTTTCCTTCTCCTATGAGGAAGGCCTGTCTTCGCTAACGAAGATTCAGGAAGGGGTTTAACCCACGTATTCTGAACAGCACTGTCATTTCCTGGGTCAGTCTCGAGCAACCGATGACACAACATCACAACATCAACTGTCTAGGGCGGATTCTGACTTAGAGGCGTTCAGTCATAAGCCCGCAGGTGGTAGCCTCGCACCAGTGGCTCCTCAGCCAAGCGCATGCACCAGGGGTCTGAACCTGCGGTTCCTCTCATACTGAGCAGGCTTACTATTGCAGCAACACATCATCAGTAGGGTAAAACTAACCTGTCTCACGACAGTCTAAACCCAGCTCACGTTCCCTATTCGTGGGTGAACAATCCAACACTTGGTGCTATCATGTTGGTGTACAGTTCTACAGTGTAGGTGCCTGAAGCAAGTAATAGAAGGTGCGGTATTTCTCCTCAAAGATCTGGTCTCATGATCCTGGGCTTGCTTGGTTCTTGAGGGGGGTGGATAAAATACATACTTCTAGTATCCTGGCATATTCAAAATACTCATTTTAAAATATGTTAAAACACTTCTTGGATTAAAAAATATAGCAAAGTTCAGCAGAATGCACTGAACAGCTCATCCATGGCTTTGTCATTCAAATAACTGCCAATCTGACCTTCATGTCTCACCATGAAGCAGTTTATAAAGCAGTTAAAAATTCTGGCATAAGTACTGCCTGAACTGGGACAATGGCCAATGCAGTTAAAGGAGGAAGTTCCTAGGTAGTTAAATATAAATTAATAGTGTTTTGTAACAAGCCCCAAAATCAGTTGGTTGAGAACACCAACATGCCAGTAGGCATTCGCTACCAGCGTAGAATAAAAACAAGACAGGTCATCAGAAATTGTAACAACAAACAGGCTGAGGTTTCCACCTGCTGATATCTAAAAAGGGATTGTTTGCTCTTACTGGAAGTACAGATGTGGATAATGGCTTTTTATTTTCTAAACATCCCTATCAGCAAGGAAGTTCAAATTTTTGTGTCTTGATAATGACATATTCATCCTGGAGAAGGAGGTAAGAGTTTCTGTAGACAGAACAAAGGGAAAATAGTCCCAGTTTCCCTGGTGAAGTTTGGAGAGTGAGGGAAAGGAGAATGCAGTTTTTGCTATAAGTTGTGGCATTCATATTTGCACTGTAGTTCTTTTCACTAAGAAGAGCAAAGACAGATATTCTGGCTTAATGTAGATCTTGATCATGTCACAAGAAGAATTCTAGTCCATTCAGAGGCATTCCTTCAATGAAGGAATTTGCCCATCAAATGGCTGATGGGCCTGTTTGAACCCAATCAACAAATTGTTTCTGAGATACCAGCAGACCTGCAAAGCAATTCCTTGTTGAGCAGACAAAAAAAACATTAGCTAAACTTCTGAAATAGCTGAATTTGACCTAGTCATGAGAGCCAAACCATGTTAGCAGAGGGAGGAGAGAGATCAAGTATCTATCATTCAGTTATTAAACACACAGACAAAACTTCAAGTGAAAAAAAAATGACTAAACCCAAAAGTTTTCAGCCCAAGCCAGAATATTTGCAATTTACCAGGACATGCAAGAAAAAAAAAAAAAAATTCTTTACTGTCTTATTCACATTTGTTCTTAGCCATGTTTGCGTAAACATAAAAATGAAGAAGCTGCTTCTTGGTCAGATGACTCACTAACAGATCATGCCAACCAGTGCTAAATATTGGAATGGCTACTGAATCCTTTCATTACATCAGTTTGTTGACTTGCATTTGTTCCAACATAGACATACACTTACTTTCATCTTAATCACATACTGTCACTCTGAATCACTTGGTTACTACAAACTTCCTAACTTGATTATAACAGAAGGAACTGGGGAACAGTGATTCCCCTTCTTTCTTCTTCATTTGAAAACCTTCTGTATCTGTTACTTTCTTGATACCTACTTTTCTCACTACAAGGCATACAGGGGGGATGGTTAGAATCCTTCGCTGTATAGTTTGATTCTTTCCTATGTACAGTTTTATGCATTAATTTGTAAAGGTGTGCACCTTAGAAATGATGGAAGAGGAACAGACTAATAGCAAGGTGATTATACAGCAGGTGTGACACTGAAACATCTTTTAACTACTTTTTAAATCTTGATTACAAAATAATCTGAGGTAGTTCTTCCTATAGATCCACAAATTTGCAAGCATTCTCTTCAAGAATTTCTGGAAGCTTCATGTAATCATTCGGCTGTCCTTAATTAACAGCAGATTTAACAGTGAAATGTACTTTTTAAAGTTCAATCATAAAATCATAGAATCATAGAATAGTTTGGGTTGGAAGGGACCTTTAAAGGTCATCAATGTGACGTTTCAGGATCAAGGGTTGTCTCCTTTACAGTTATGTAAAGTATCAATTTTTTTTTGTGTGACCTTAGACCTAAAAGTTTAAATTGCCAGAGGAGACAGATTTTGCCATTACTGACATGAATCTTGCCTGTTCAGGCTGGGGTAGTTTGTAGTGAGCAGGCTTAATCAAGACTGGAAGTACTGTTCTAACCATAACAATAACAGTATAATTTTCTTTTGTTCATTTTAAACGTGGGACAAAATGTTCTCTGTTATGACTCACTTCTTTAATATCCTGACACATAAGAACAAACAATCTACAAAGTGATACTAAATGCAGAGCCATATTAACTCCTTTTATCTTCTTCCATTCTCCAAAATTGAAACACTGCAAAACCAAATCAGAAGAAATCTTTCATCAAGTATTCTTTTCAATCATTCTGCTCAGGTCAAATTAAATAAAGAAATAATTTCCTTCAAATTTTCCTAACCTATTATATTTATGCCATGTGCCATAATGGCCAAAATAAGTCCATTACAGGAATAAATCTCATTAAGGGTATGCCTGCTGTATGCCTTCAAATTATGCGGTATTATTTGGTTTGTTTGCTTGTACACATGTTTACAGACTTAATATGTGAAGGTTTGATAGATTAAACCATTCTAAAGGATATTTTGAGATTAAAGGGTCATATTGGTTGCAAACAGGTTTTCCACAGTGACTTCAAAGAAGTAATTTACTTAAAAGCAATAAACCATAGTCCACAGAGTTCATTACAAATTCTAGTAGTCATGCTGTTCCTGTTCTACTCAGTTAGTTTCTGGTCTAGCTGACAGGTAAAGAACTATCCCCTCAGAGTTTTATTTCACAAAAAAAAAAAAAATCATATTCTCTCAATATTTCAATAAACAGTTATAGAATTTAAACACAAACAATAAATGCACTGCAGTCAGTGCATTAGTTACAATCAGTAGTTTTAAAGAGATGTTCTGCATGTCTCCTTTTAATTGTGTGATTTTGAAACCCTTTGTTTGGGAGGCATGGTCTCAAAAGAAGGGTGAAATGCTGTTAAATGGAACAACTTTTCATATAAGAAATACAGTAAAGAGCAATGTTATTAATTAACTCATCAAATGAGCTACCAATTCCAGGAGACATCTAATTAAGAAGTTAACTAAGAGAGGTAAATCACATTTAAAATGCTATTTTATGATCTTATGCATTTTTCTTTAAAAGGGGGAGTTCTAAACCATTTTTTGTGGCCTGTTATCTGTGGCAGAAGGGTGGAATTAAAATCTAACAATTTATTGCTAGGCAGGTTCAGTGCCCTGCAGCACTTCACGTAGTTTTAGCAGCCTCAACCCTGTCAAAGGCACAGCTGAAAGTCAGAAAAGGTCTGTACAACTCCTTGAGAGCTGTGATCACACTCCACACCTGCTTTCATTTGAAGTAATTTTTATATTACAGCCTATGAAATACTCCATCTGAAGTTCATTACTCACTGATAATGCAGAGAAGTTGAAGAGTCTGGGGGAGAAGATAGGGTAGGGATGCAGGTAACACAAGAAAGCTTGTCAGTGTTACGATGGTCTTATTTCATAGCTGGGGCATAGTCAGGATGGTGTGAACAGTCACAGGAGAGACCCTGCTCCTGAAGGGTTTACAATCTATAGAAATAGATAGAAGAGGCTGAAGCAATCTTCTACCCAGAAACATAAAAGCTACCTTTATTGTCATCTTTCAGTATGATGATCTGGCCCCTGACAAGCATTTTTCAGGCAATTAATGTGAAATACGATGCTTTCAGTTTCAGATGCATCTATTCCAATTCGTGCAAAAAGACATTTAAACTGATAACAAAGAAATGATAAGTGTGATCCTTTGTTTCTTGTAAGCAGATACTGATGGGACAATCAAAGCTGTAACCAAGTAACCAAGAGAAATTCTTTAACAGCTTGTAGTTAATACTGCAAAATGTGTATGTGCTTTTCTGTTACAAAATCGTGGTCAGATTAATACTAGTTACTCCTGATTATCAAAAGTATCAGGAAACAGATCACAGCTGTATTTAAGAACAAAACCAAAAGTATCTTTTTAGCATAGAATCCTTTTGCATTTGCAAATATGAAGGGAGACAAACTGATGGAGTTCTGTGAGTTAATAATTTCATCACTTGGCATAAGAGCTTTCTAATAATATGTGTCACAGTCTATGAAGATTCCAGTTTTTACATCTGCTATACGCATTCCTGGAATCCTGTATCCTGCATACAGGCTTTACCTTTAAATTTATGCTGTAGAAAAATACTACTATTTCTTCCACATCAAAGAGAAGCCAACAGCAGGGGGCTTTGGGTTACAAACAATATAAATGACAGCTGATTAGGAGAAAAAAAGCAGTCCTACAACAGCCAACTGTTACATTTAGAGACACAGTTCTGTCCCTGAGCCATGCCACGGTAGCTAGAGATGAAGAAATACCTGATTGCTGCAGATAAGTTCTGAAAAGGTATCTGCATATCTTAGCATCTAAAAGGAGGAAGAAATAAATTTTGTTTGTGATACATCAGAGTAAACCAAATGAAATTAGAATAAGGCAACAGCTTAGGCAAGCAAATCTAATTTTAGAAAAAGCTTAGTATTGTCACGCCTTTTTTTTTTTTTCCTAGAATTGCTAGTATCTTAAAACAAAGTGTGATCTTTAAACTTTAGACTCAACAACAAACCACAACCAGAAATGGTAACACAGCCTCAAGGCTTCCAGCTAAGTGTTTGCATTTCCTGGCAGGAGATAATTTTTGATGAAAAAATAAATTCATAGTAATGAAAAGAAAAAGCACACATTTATGAAGTAGTGAAGTCTGTGGAGATATTTAAATAAGAATGATCTAATATTTTATAATTCTCACAGTGTTGGCTTACCTCAAGCAATATCCATTTTAAAGGTGGTAAAAAGGTTTGTGTATTTAATTAGAAAAAATTTCATTTTCAGTGTGATAGGCAGCTCTGTAACCATTCAGCTCTTACTAAATTAATACAATCTGTATAGATACAGCCTCAAGCCAAGCAATTTACCTCTGAAATCTCAATAAACCACTTGCTCTTGATAAACAGTAGGATTTGATAAAGAGTGGGCTAATGAAAGATAATGATATTTCCAGTAATAGCATTAGTGGAGTTTCACTGGGGACAAGAGAGAAGAACAAGATGTTCAGCAAGAAACTAGACCATCAAAGCCTGAGAGCATATTAAGAAGAAAGCAAGCAAAGAGGAATTCACATCTAGTACATGAAAATACACCGATTTTCTTTGGCTTTGTTTTCTGAAAGGTATAGGGTTGGATTTCTGGGACAAAGGAAGTGTTTAACACTGGTAACAGACCTCTGCATGACCGGATTGACCAAACAAATCACAGATGCAAGGTTTCAGTAACTGGATGGGCCCATGTGCATCTAAAGATACAGCGGCAGAGACAAAACATCTGTGAATTAGTTTTGCAGCCACACTCTCCAGATGCTAGCACTCAGTGTGAAAGTTTAGCTTTACATATTCAAAACAGAAGCATATCCCGAAGTGTCATAAAGGTTCTTAGAGGCCAGCCACACACATTTGTATATACATAGTAGATCACGTATATACTTGAGTGCAAGCACAGAAAGAGTGAGTCTTGACTTCTGATGGTTAAAGAATTAAAAACTCTGGGCTTTCTTAAGCAGCTTGTGAGTCCATTAGCAATGCTACAGGTTGTAAAAACCCGATAAGGATAGGGTTTTTTTAGTCTTTAATTAGTAACAAAACAATTAGTAGAATTTTAACATTCTGATTGCCTGAGGTCATAGCTGGTTAATAGCAAACTCAGAAATTATGTATCAGACTTCTACTGTCTAGCTTGGGAAACTGAAGTAGGCACAGAGCTGTTTGCTTAAAAGAACTAAAACACATGAAAAATTAAGGAAATGAAAAAATAAAGAAGGTACAAAATTAATCCATAATACCATCACTATGTGGCACTGCAGTGAAAACAAGACAGCTTTTGAGTAGCCTGATTTGGGCTAGAAAAGTGCTAAACAGGGATGAGTCTGTAAGGCTGCTGGAAAAGTACCATTTCTGTTGAAATTTGACTAACTAATCAAGTATCAGGACATTTACAAGAGGGATTTATAAGAGGACATTTCATCTCACCCTGACTTTGATTCTTGTACTTTCATTTTTAACATTATGTAATTGGCCAGTATGAGATAAGAATTATTTCCTTCTGAGAATTACTTAGCCCTTAGGATGAAGGGCAAACTTCGAGCTCTTGCCACTTCAGGTCCTAGTACACTTGAGCTGTACTTAAGGAGCAAAATCTGTCAGTGAATGTCCATGTTTCCATTTTGAATGACTTCTAGCATTTTGATTTATTTTTTAAGAGGATCAGCCTTTCCTATTATTTTTATTTAGCTTTCATAGCTAATATCTACTTGTCCGAGGTCCTCTGAAGAGCTTCCATGATGTCTGATAAAAGCTGACTGACAAGGGAATTGTCTAGGTAAATATGTAACTGTTTCCTTAGGGCTAGAAAACTTTACATTGTTTAGCCTTGCTACTGTAGATGACCAAGCATTTGGAATTAATTAAATAAGTGGAAGGATTAAGGGTTGGAATGACAAATGTGAGTTTTGAGGAAATAATACTATAAATTAATCAACACAGGCAGCCTAAACAGAAATTAAATGGGAGAAGTGATTATCTTTCTTCTACATGAGAATAAATACCAAAAACAAAAAAAAAAAGAGGAAAAGGAACTGTTTAGGGTGAAGCCCAAGGAGACAAAACTAGCACTAACAGGACTAGATTGAGCAATGGAAAACATCAGAAGCATGTACTAAAGGTGAGAGGTGGGTGGTTGTGAAGTGTGCTGGTAAGGGCGCTGGTGCAACTCTGGGTAGGACAGCCAAACCTGACAGCCTGGTTCAACTGCATACATTTTATTCAGTGGGGGTTTAAGTAAATTGATTAATTAATTTTTATATTTGAAACAGGTTTTTATTTCCTTTTGCTTTATTTTGCCATTATATGATTATTTTCATCTTAAAGGCCAGAAAAAATAAAAGCATAGCAAATTATTGCATGCAGGATTTTCATGAATAGATTATTTCTTTTCATATGAGAATGGAAAGGTAACATAAAAAGGCAGTGTGGTTCATGGTGATAACACAGGACACTTTTTTTGAATGGTACTAGCAAGCTATGAAAGACAAGAAAATAAATTTCAATGCTTGAAAAAAGAAAATACTTTTAATTAATGTTTCCCACTTTCTAATAATTAATACTAGCAGTTTTTTAAAGATCTACATCTTAAACAATAAACAGGTACATCCTAAATGTAAAATGCATTGTGACCAAAAATAGAGCTCAATCGGTAAAGTAGTAATTTCCAGTAACAATACTACCCTTTTTGACTGATTACAGAATTTTTATTTTTTTCCTAAGAGAGTATAAATTTAAAATTGTCTATTTATTGTTTATTAAGTATACTATGTATAATGTTTTTCCTTAGCAGCTATACTTTTTTGATGTATTCATTGGTCAGAATTAATGAAATTATGGGGTTTATTTTTATTGCACTGTTAATCCAAGTTAATCTGGGACTGTACAGCCTGTGATAACATTGTACTTTATACAGATCAATGGTGAATAATTCCTTTTAAAAATTCCACACCTGAATGAAAAAAAGAAATAAAAATGAGGAACTTGTTGCTACACGAAGTCACTGTCTCTATCACGGCACCTTCTGCCCAGGGAGGCTGTGAATGCTCCATCCCTGGCAGTGTTCAAGACCAGGTTGGACGAGGCCTTGGGTGATATGATTTAGCGTAAGGTGTCCCTGCCCACGGCAGGGGGGTTGGAACTAGATGATCTTAAGGTCCTTTCCAACCCTAACTATTCTATGATTCTATGAGTCAAAAAGGCCAGGAAAAGTTGCTGCTTTCCACTCTCATGTTTACATGTTTCACTTTGAAAATACTTTTTTCATAACGTGAGTGTGAAAGCAGCATATCCCAGCAACCCCAGTAACCACAGTAAATGTCACAGGCAGAGGAGCACATATCATAAGCAACATACAGGATTAAAAAAGAATAGGTCAAAGTGACTCAGAGGTTTGTAAGAGTACTGAGTGCAGTATCCTTTCTTTGCCAGAACCTACTCTTTGATGAAATTCAGTGTGATCTGGTATTTTTCCTTAGCTGTATACAGCAAATAATATTTCAGGTTTTACTTAAATTCTCTGTCCTCATATTTGCTGAGGTACATTGGCAACAGAATAATAAACTGGAGATAAGATGCTGAGGCCCTAATCAGATACGTAGGAATTTTCCTTTATTGAAGTTACCTGTGGATGGAATGCATCAATATCCATAAGCTATTAATATCTCTGTAAGATGTATGTTATCTTTTGGGAGAATATATATAAAATGTAGCTGAATACAAAAAGAGACAAAAAGTTTTTCTTATTAAAACATTAATGAGAAAATTTAAAAAGACGCACACACACCAGAAAGAATACCATCAACCATAAAAACCTGTCAACATCTAAAACAGCAACGAAACTAACAGTAACAGGTTATGGGACAATCCTCTTTTAAAAAATTCAGGTAGAAAAAGTTGAACTTTTTGAACATCGTTTAAGAAAAAACTAATGACCAAAAATGTAATGGTCATGCTATTGCTTCATCATCTTGAGAAGTTACCAAATTAGTCTGCGCTTTCTATAAACAGTGGTCTCAAATGTACACAGCATTCACAATGAGGCCTTTGGAGAATCAAGTAGCGACAAGCGTGTTCTGTGTAAGGCACAACCCTCTGGTTCACAAGCTGTCATACTGTCACACTGCTGAATCAAGTTTTTAGGCTGACCACAGTAGTTCAAAACATGCTAATAGGAAAAAATAGGAGAAATATTTAAAAAATTAAAATCTGTTTAAAATCATCTTCCTTAGAATTAGTGGCTTTCAGATTCAGAGGGAAGATGAGTTACAGCTTGGAACACGGAATATAACATTCTCCCTATTCCCAATGTGAGAAGACATATTGCAACACATTGTATGGCGTCCTGGGTTCAGCAGTATCAGTCATTTTTCTCTTTCGTAGTAGGTGGTGCAGCGCTGTGTTTTTGACTTTTGGCCTGGGAACAGCGCTGATAACGTCAATGTTTTTAGTTGTTGCTCAGTAATGTTTACTCTGACCAAGGACTTTGTGAGCCTCACGCTCTGCCAGGGAGGAGGAGGAAGTTGGGAGGAAGCAGAGACAGGACACCTGACCCAAACTAACCAAAGAGGTATTCCATACCACAGCACGTCATATCCACTATATAAACTGAGGGCAGTTACCCGGAAGGGTTAGATCACCGCTCGGTTGGGCTGGGTATTGGTCGGCAGGTGATGAGTGGTTGTATTCTCTTCCCTTATTATTATTGGTCTAAACCCCAGCTCATGTTCCCTATTAGTGGGTGAACAATCCAACGCTTGGTGAATTCTGCTTCACAATGATAGGAAGAGCCGACATCGAAGGGCCAAAAACTATGAAGAAAGCTATGAACGCTTGGCCGTCACAAGCCAGTTATCCCTGTGGTAACTTTTCTGACACTTCCTGCTTAAAACCCAAAAAGCCAGGATCGTGAGGCTCCGCTTTCATGGTCTGTATTCATACTGAAAATCAAGATAAAGCAAGCTTTTGCCCTTCTGCTCTGCAGGAGGTTTCCATCCTCCCTGAGCTCGCCTTAGGACACCTGTGTTACGCTTCAACAGGTGTACCGCCCCAGTCAAACTCCCCACCTGCCGCTGTCCATGGAGCGGGTTGCTCCCAGCACATGCGGGGTTCTTGGTGCCAGAAGCGAGGGACCATCGTGAGACAGGTTAGTTTTACCCTACTGATGATGTGTTGCTGCAATAGTAAGCCTGCTCAGTATGAGAGGAACCGCAGGTTCAGACCCCTGGTGCATGCGCTTGGCTGAGGAGCCACTGGTGCGAGGCTACCACCTGCGGGCTTGTGACTGAACGCCTCTAAGTCAGAATCCGCCTAGATGCTCGATGTTGTACTGTTGCATCATCGGTCGCTAGAGATTGACCCAGGAAATGACAGTGCTGTTCAGAATATGTGGGTTAAAGCCCTTCCTGAATCTTCACTAGTGAAGACAGGCCTTCCTCATAGGAGAAGCAAAACTTCTATCTTCAAACCCGGGCAGATGGAGCTTGTCTAGCCTTGTATGGTCTTCCACCATAGAGAAAGACACTCTTACAAAACCCACGACCTGTGGACTTTGCTGTCACCATCCTAGCTAGCTAGGCTGTGGCAATTAAACCTCAGGTGTAAAGGGTGGGGCCAGTTCTGTGCATGCTGCGCCTCACCTAAAAAATCCACTGCGCAGGCTGGAAGGGCTTACTGTCACTTGTCTGAATGGACAGGTGAAGGTCGAAATGGCAGGTGACAAGGTGCATGGGTAGCTGCAGATCCAACCTTGCATGTGGGCAGACCAGTGCATGGGTAGCTCAAGTTAGCTCAGGAGTTGACAGTCCTGGTCAGACACTTCCTGATTGCCTAAGCAGCCTTTTTTCCAACTGAATTTTGATATCCCACATGCCCTTGGTCATTGTGCTTGTAGTAAGCATGGGTAAAGCCCTTCCAAAATCTTCGCTCGCAAAGCCAAGCCATCAATCAATTATTATTGGTGGTAGCAGCAGTGGTTTGTGTTATACCTTAGTTACTGGACTGTTCTTATCTCAACCCATGGGAGTTTCATTCTTTCCATTCTCCTCCCCATCCCTCTGGGAGCAGGTGGGAAGAAGCGGGAAGGGGAGTGAGCGAGTGGCTTGGTGGTTCTGAGTTACCAGCTGGGCTTAAACCATGACATATGGGAACTCACTGAGCTAAAGAGTACAAGGGTGATCACTGGTAGGAAAATACTTTGCTATCCAACAGAAAATGCATCTTTGCAGCTCCAGCCCAAGCTGTTTGCAGCCACCATTGCTTTACAGGTTTTCCTTGAAATTTTGTATGAACTGAAGTTTCCTACGACAGCTGAAACAGACTGCATTACAACATCAGGATCTTGGTTGATAATTAATCTTTGCAATTTGCGCCAGTTTATTGACAATATAGAGAAAGATCTAAGAAAAAAGATTGAGACTAGAGTTCATTTTGTATGGCTTTTTTCTTTTTCCACACCATTTCCACTAAGATATTAGAATTACTACCTTTAAACGCAGCAGAAGACTCATCTTGACAGATGCAGCAGCACTGTGAATTATTGGGAAGTTTGATATAAAACAAGATGATAGATAAAATTGAGAAATAATGTTCTGGTATTGGAGCCTATTTTATTCTTGGAGATTGATGATGCATATCCAGAATTCTTATTCTTTGTTGAAGGGCTGAGAGAGAAAAATTGTGCAAGTACCAAAACTGCTGGTAAGGAAACAGGGAAAACAGCTGGCCTAGAATAATCACCACTTACCTGCCAGAAGACAAAACACTGTATTCCTTGGGCCAATATGTCATCCTACCTTTCCAAAAGGATTGTGAGAACAGGTTTAGGATACTGTTCCCCTGTGATATGTTCTGTTGAAATTAAAATATATATATATATATATATATAAAGATTATATGGCACCAAAATCCCGTCAAAGAAAATAAAATCATTGCCAAAACAGGAGAGGGAGTTAAGAAAACAAGTGGATGCACTAACGAAATGCGTGATATTTAACTGAAGAGTACCAGGAAACCAGGAAGCATACAGAAATATTTTTGTGAGAGGAATGTAAAAGCAGTAACCAAACAGCATGGTCAATACACCATACGCTGTGAGGGAAAATTTAAGAAAAGCAAATCCCTTCTTCAGGAAATCCAGCTATCAGCCTATGGTGCTGAAAACCAAAATCAATTAGAAGCAACTGTGCTAATAAGAAGATGAATTTACACTAATAACTTTGTGTAAGTTACTGAGCAACTGGAAGCAGACAGAAAGCTTCAGAAAAACTCTGAAAAACAGTATGCATACAGAGCAGCTGGAAAGCCAGTTAGTGTAGTTAGTACAGGGACCAACAAGTCATCATTAGGGTGATCCTGGCTTTAGGGTGTCAGGGACAGGCAGTAATAGTAGGCTACTGGGGGGACCTTAATACCACTTCACTCTTCACTACTCAGGCTCTCTAGCCCTAAACATTCTTACATGCACCATAGCTCCCTTTCCTAACATAGACTTAAAATGACAAGGTAAGTTCCAGTGTTGGATAGAAAGGCATGTATACGTGTGCCAAAGACATTTTATATCTGTGTTTCCTGACAGACATTTTATGTTCTTTTGGGAAGCAAGAGAAACTCAGGCATTTATTTTATAAAAGACATATGTTTTCATGACTATGAGACAGAAGAAAAAGCCAAGGTGAAGTACTTTCACCCATTTCTCTATAACTAGATTTAGGCTGCTGAACATTAGTCCTAAATAATAATTAAAAAAAAAAAAAAAAAAGAAAATTTGTAAAATGTTTAATGAAGAGTATTACCTTCCATTGCAGTCAATTTGTGAACAAATCCCACATTTGGACAGATGTAAATGTGTCCACCATTGGACATCCACAAGATATATTCACCTGTTTTGTGCATAAGCAGAGCTGACTGTATTACCAGCAATGCCAGCTTTGGAGCCACACTTGGTCAAATCCCTAGGTTTAGCTGCTGTTACTGGGAACACTGGCACTCTGAAACTCATTTGAGGCACAGGCTGAAAGTCAAACCTCATGGTAGTCAGAGACAGAACCCCCATTGACTTCAGCAAGGCCAGGACTGCATTCAGCCAAAGAAATGAATGGCTGTTCACTCACAGTTGAAATATAGACCAGACTGCCTGTCATTAAAGCATGACCCATAGAAGGAGTAATACTGGCAAAATGTAGACCTAAATTTAGTGCTGATAGGAAAACCTTCTTTAAAGAATGAACCTTCTTTAAAACCTTCTTTTTTAAATAAAAGCAGAAAATATTTTGAAAAGAGATATGATGATATATGAAGAGTTGTGGTCAATGGCTCAGTGTCCGGCTGGAGACCATAACGAGTGGTGTCCCTCAGGGATCAGTGTTGGGACCGGTCTTGTTCAACATCTTTGTCGCTGACATGGACAGTGGGATTTAGTGCACCCTCAGTAAGTTTGCTGATGACACCAAGCTGTGTGGTTCAGTTGATATGCTGGAGGGAAGGAATGGCATCTAGAAGGACCTTGACACATTTGTTGAGGTGGGCTGATGCCAACCTTATGAAGTTTAACCATGCCAAGTGCAAGGTCCTACACCGTGGTCAGAGCAATCCCAGGCACAGCTACAGGTTGGGCAAAGAAGAGATTCAGAGCAGCCCTGTGGAGAAGGACTTCGGGGTGTTGGTCGATGAGAAAATGAACATGAGCCAGCAGTGTGCACTTGCAGCCCAGAAAGCCAGCCGTATCCTGGGCTGCATCAAGAGGAGCGTGACCAGCAGGTCGAAGGAGGTGATCCTGCCCCTCTACTCTGCTCTTGTGAGACCTCACCTGGAGCATTGTGTGCAGTTCCGGTGTCCTCAACATAAAAAGGACATGGAACTGCTGGAACAAGTCCAGAGGAGGGCCATGAGGATGATCAGGGGACTGGAGTACCTCCCGTATGAGGATAGGCTGAGAAAGTTGGGGCTGTTCAGCATGGAAAAGAGAAGGATGCGTGGAGACCTCATAGCAGCCTTCCAGTATCTGAAGGGGGCCTATAGGGATGCTGGGGAGGGACTCCTCATTAGGGACTGTAGTGATAGGACAAGGGGTAATGGGTTAAAACTTAAACAGGCGAAGTTTAGATTGGATATAAGGAGGAAATTCTTTCCTGTTAGGGTGGTGAGGCACTGGAATAGGTTGCCCAGGGAGGTTGTGAATGCTCCATCCCTGACAGTGTTCAAGACCAGGTTGGACGAGGCCTTGGGTGATATGGTTTAGTGTGAGGTGACCCTGCCCATGGCAGGTGGTTTGGAACTAGATGATCTTAAGGTCCTTTCCAACCCTAACTATTCTATGATTCTATGATTCTATATCTGGAAAAAATACAGAAGTCAGATTGAGTGTGTCTGTTACAGTTACCGTACCAAAACCATAACCTGACTTATGTCCAGGAACAGTAATAGACACATGAACACAGAGCTATTTGTCTTGAAGCTAAGGTGCGGAATACCCTAAAAATGAAGAGCATCATTACAATGTACTCAAGGTGTTAAGCAATACTTATAATCTAGTAAGGATCCATAGTGCCCAGCATAAAGAGTTTTATTTTTAAAGCACAGTTTTTTTCATTAATGTCTTGAGCAACATCCTTTGTGGAGGATAGCAGCTAAGTGACAGTTGGCTTTTGCAACAGTATGATCTCCGTAAGTTTAAGAGCATTGCACAAATGTTCTTTTTTTTAATTTTTTCTTTCCCCCCCCCCCCCCCCCCGCCTTTTTTTTTTTTTCACCCTTAGCGAAGAACTGGAAATGAGGGAAGTGAGTAAAGTTTTTTAACATGAGCAGATTGTTTTCCTTTATGTAAACAGTCTCAGGGGATTTGCTGAGACACAGAATTCAAACAAACAGATTTTATTTCATAATAAATGAGCTTTTAAATTATTCTGACATATTCAATTACACAAATACATTTTTTCCAATTCAGAAAAAATCAGAGATTTTTCAATTCTTTTTCCTTGCATCAGCAAATAACCTTACTTTTCTTCTCAGACAACTTATTTGCCTTTTTCTTGAATCTTGTGATCTCATTTTCATTTACATCACCAGACAATCCTATCATTAGGATTTAGAGATTTATTAAACTTTTAATGATAATCTTGATAATGTATTTGTAATGTATTGAACCCATTCCTAATGAAGGTTTGTTTTAAAGGAATATAAACAAGAAGGACTTGTTCTCCTCTAATGCATTTTGGCAGCAGAAGCTCCCATAGAGAGGAAATGAGCTGTCCCATGGTTAGCATACTGGTCTGGAACACAGAAAATCCTGGTTTAGTTCCCTATTCTGCCGTAGACTTCCTGGATGACCTTAAATAAATCTCTCTCTGCCTCTGATCCATATGTGTATAAAGAAATAATACCTGTTTCCTGGTTAACAGATGAAAGAAAATGAAACAGCTGAAAAGATCCCAAAGTCTGTCAGTCCAGTTGAGCCGTCCTTACTCAGGTTGTGGATTTGCTCATGCTGCTGCCTCATCTCCATCTGCAGGTTTTTTGTATGAACAGACCTTTACCCCTTTAGCAAATGTCTTTCCTGTCCTTTTATCACCCCAGTAATCTTTTCCTGTCTTTATTCTCTCTACATCCTTGACTACCTTATCCCCCACCTGTCTTCTTTCACCTCTGAAACAGCACCCATCATTGACACCTGTTTTCGGGTACAAACCCAGATACTTTAATAGTCTAATCAAGGTAAATGATTCGCTCTTTTGTCCTTCCTAAGCTTCTGGAATCTATAGCATATGTAAGACAAAATTAAACCCTTAAACCACTCTTATAAATTCTACCTAACCTAACACACATTTCATCCTGGATGCTAGGGCAAGGATGATCTTTCAGAGACAGCCCTAGGAAGAGTACTTAGAAATCTGCAGCTCATAATATGACACGATAAAATGTAAACCACAGAACTTTTGCACTTTTGAGCAATTTCTTTTAAACACTATAAACCATACATGTGCTATTAATATATAACATAAAAAGAATTCATATGAAGTGTAAATACCAAGAAAAGATCAAAGAAATATCCAGAATAATTAGCACTTTCAAAAACATTGTTTGAAATAAATCAAAGAAGCTTTGATAATTCAATCTACTGAAAAACAGACTGTTGGTTAAAAAAAAACACCACCAAACATACATTGCATTGAAACTAAATGTAGGGCTATTCTTTATAAACCCACCTTCTTTCATTTTGAGATTACTAGGGAAATAAATCACAGATTCTCCAACACCTATTTTGTAAAAAGCAAATGGAAAACCAGACTCAAGAGACACTTACTTTGTTCTATTCCGGACTTTGATCCACGGGCCATGTATGACTAGGTTTTGGGGTGGTTTTTTACATTCTTAATCCCAGCTTCAAAGTTGTTGTATGTGAGCCAAGTATGTTCCAAAGACTGTACATATGGTTACTGCCAATGGAGTTCAGAGTTAGAGGGGAAAGTAACCAATGGCTAATGTTCCTAACAATCCTATCAGATTAATATATTCCAACTCTTTGTCTCAGGATGATAACATTATTTTTACAATGTATTCTTTATAAGAAAAATACAGGGAAAACTTAAGGATAATGCTTTCCAGAGTTTCAAAACTTAGAGGTGCGAATACAGATAGTTTACCAAGAGTCTGACAGTATTACTGTTCTTATTTGCCGGCATTGTATGTATGAGTACATTGAGTCTTCATGTTACATTTTCCATAAAATTTGCATACGTGATAATTCTGGATTTCTATTTTGAAGCTGTAAGTACTAGTCTACTGGACTCACCTTTTTTTTTTTTTTCTGCATATGTTGCAGTGTGCAATGGCATCCAGAAAAAATCCCAAAGATCCTAAATCAAGATGTTTCATCGAATCCGTATAAAAAAATATCACAACTTCAGCTGCCTTTTCTGGAGTGATTAAATACACGAAAAAGTCCCTGAATATCCCCTCTGCAAAGAGATATCGGTTCTATATTAATCTCTCAATCTCCTGACCAAAATCCCGCTGTGCATATTTTGCACAGCTCACAGTAGTAGGCAAGAGGCTTATATTCAATTCCACATGATTCTCCTCAAAGCAACATTTATACTCAGTTTCTACTTTGCTATAGGGTAAAAAGTTTGCTTCAGGAGGCAAAGTTTTTAAAGGAAACTATCCAAATTCAGTTAAAAGTATTAGGCAATTATTTAAATTGCTTGCACTTTAAAATATTACCTCATTCAGATAACAGGTAATTAGACAAATTGTGAAGTTGAGGGGGGGGGGGGAAATCCCATATATTTACTCCCACTGCATTATGTTTGGCCTCCTAGTCATTATTTCACTTTTGTTTAACAGTGAAAATAGAAAACTGACGCTGAGAGTCTTCATTGAGTTAACAGTAGTATGACTGTACGCAAAAAAAAAATTGATAAACTAAACGTGCAATTTACTTTGAGGGTAGAAAGTTTGTAAATTAGGACTGAGTAAATCATAACCACGTAAAAGGTGATGTGTTGTTATTGCCCTGCCAATGTATTCTAATACTAATCTGATCACCTGTAAAGAAGGAAGCTCAGTTCAACCCTCACTATCTTTTGTAAAAATAACAGCAAAGGTGTCAGGTAGAACTAATATCAGTGAAGATTATTGGCAGCCAAAAACCAGAGTACAATAATCAAATGGAGGCCTGTTGGAGGAGCTGTTGTTGGCATTACCATTATAAAATCAATTTAACTATTGACATGAGGGGGGAAAAGTCCACAACTTCACAAATAACTAACCCAACTTATTCCAAACTATTTCCTTTCTTTGGTTTTCCTAGTGATAGGAGCAATATCTCATCTACCAAGAACTGAAAAAATTAATCTACATAGTAAATGTAGAGTGAGGTATGTGACATTTGGTAAAATAGCCTTTCTTTTTTTTTTTTTTTTTTTTGCCAATAAAACTGTTTTCAGAAGAGAGGCTGAAAAACAGGAAAACTTGGAGAAAAATTATCCACTCAAGCTCTTAACCTTTTCTCTGTAATAAATAGCTTCCAGTATAACACTTGAGTGGGGATTAGTTTGCAGGCAGTTTCAGAGGAGAAAAGAAGTCACAGTTTTCTCTCCTTGTGGCTCCAGTATAATAGTTGAGGCACCACTTTGTAGCAAAAGTATGGGAGTGGAAAGGCAGATGGGAAGTGGATAATGCTGTTTCAGAGCCCTGTGTCTTACAGACTGAGAAGCATTCACAAAGCTGGAGCTAATGCTGTGAAACCAACGCTTGTGAAAGAGTTTCAGTCCCTTACACAGATTAACAAACCTATCAGCACAGCCAGTGCAAGGCTTTAGGACACAGTCCAGCACTCACAGCAAACACTGGCCATTAGCAGTACTTTCAAACATTTCAATATGATCATCAAATCACTACAAAGACTCACTTGTTTAGAGAAATTTAATTTTGCTACAATATAAGATACTCGTAGCTGATTAATTTCTCCTATTTTTTTTATGACAGGTTTCCCAGAAAGCGTGGCTACTGACTCAGTCACTGTTTTCCACAGAACTTGTGCATCAGGTTTTGTTTTCTTTCAATTATATTCCAAGCCCTCTTTGCTGTTAAGGAAACCCGAATGTGATCTGACGCTCTGAACTTGGAGAAGGACATAAGTGTGTCTGACAGGAAGTCTGTATTGTATCTTGCAGTGCTTCAAAAGTGTAACTTGTACTGTTAAATTTTAAAGATATTAAGCATCCAGTTATGAATTTTGGCTGTAATTCCTGTATATTAAAGTAAATAAATAAGTAAATAAATAAATAAATTCTAAAAAAATATATAATCATATTGATCATTTGTCAAAAATGACTCCTGGACTGATCCTAATGACATATCTAGCCTACCCAAAATGTCATCTTCTGACTTTACTTCATATTCTTTATTGCATTCTTCATGTAAGTTAGCCTTGGCAGGTATGTCACACATAGTCCATGCTAAATTTACCAGGTAACTGCTTTCTGTGTGCATTTAATTTGGTTTCCAGCATATCAAGGGACAGCTGGAAATGGTGGAGGACTTGAAGGAGAGGAGGAGAAAAAGGAGGGGTGAGTACATCCATAACCAGCACCTAAATAATCAATTTCCATCTCTTCAATGCCACAGCAGATAAAGCAAATTGAAGTTTTCTAATTTGTGCTTGGATGAAAAAGAATTAATTTTTTTAATTCCTAGTTTATACCTGAGAATCAACCATTTGATTGCCCCATAAAGGGCAGAAGAAGCCACAGTTTCTCCTTGGATTTTTGGGAGAGGTGACTTGAGTTTTCCATCGCGCATCTGACTCCTTTCTGCAACAAGATACAGCCAAAACCTTCATTCATTTCCCTTCAATCATGTTTATGTTGGATAGTTTCTAACAGCTCTATTCCCATTCTTATTCTCTACTAATTTATTGTAAGACGAGCATGAAACATTATTTGCCTGTCTTTCATCATGTCTCATCCTCCACATTATATTTTACTTTCTCTAGAGATGTACCTGATCTGGAAATCCCAGTTGAAGATGCTGAAGCTCACACTGGCTGGAATTTGTTGACTTAAAATATGAAGCCTTGGTCAAAAAAGCCCATAGAATTTTAACAAGTTTAAAATTTGTCATAGTGTTCTCATCTAAATCTGCTGCTCACATTATTTAATGCCTAATGAACACCACCCTGGACCAGAATGTGTCCATCACCTAAAAGCAAACTAAGTTCAATATCCAGACCTATTTCTATACATAAAGGAAACCCTTAATCCCAAATAATATCAACTTTTAAGAGACTCCAGTATAAATTCAGACTGAATTCAAGAGTATTAGAAAGAAACACAGAGAATCATAGAATAGTTAGGGTCAAAAAGGACCTTAAGATCATCTAGTTCTAATCCCCCTGCCATGGGCAGGGACACCTCACTCCATCCAACCTGGCCTTGAACACTGCCAGGAATGCAAACTACCCTCTCTTCTCTACCATGTCTGATTCTCGGAGCTTACTTTGATTTTAATAATAGAATCATATAGCTTCACATTTTACATTGATTTTCAAGTTAAACAAAGGAATAATCCTACCAAGTTCCTCTGCTGCTGATGTTAAAACAGAAACCATGCAAATAATTTTTTTTTTCCTTTCGGTAGCCAACAGAAAAAAAGAAAAAAAAAAAAGAAAAAAAAAAGGTGTTTTTTATTGGTTTATATCAATCCCAGACTGAAATATTTCCACGTACTCAACCAATTAAAACAGTTCATTTGAGATTAAACAAAACATTTAATTTGGGAGAAACAAATCAGGCATACTTAATAACGCCAGCAAGCCAGAGTCAGAAAACAAATCAAGGGAAAAAAATAAATAAATGTCTCATGTCACTGACCCTGTGTACCAAAAGTGGTGATTCTGTTGCTCTTGGATTGCAGATGACTTGCAGGCAGTCCAAGGACTGCTCCTGTGCCAGGCCTGGGTATGTGAGGGAGCAGGCCTGGTTTTTGTGGGAATGTGCTGGCTGTGTCCTCTGAAGCCTTCTCTAGGAGAAGAAAAGAGCCAGCTGTGGCCAGCACTGCTTGCCTGGATCAGTGACGTGTTCAGCCTCAGGGAACTATTGTCAGCTCCTGCCTGTGAACTTCTTTCAGTTTCCTCTCCACAGCTTTTTTGAGTTACAGCATTTCGGTCCTGGATAGTGTGAAATAAGGGATATCACTCACAACAGCAAGTCTCACCTTTTTCTGTTGGAAAATCATCCAAAATATGGGTTAATTGAGCATTAATACTGCCTTGTTCACTTCGAGAAGAAATTTTACTTTAGGTCTTCATCCTATGAGTAGATCAGAGCAGTAGACCAGGACATCACTAAACCAAACCCTGTTCAGCAGACTTAGTTTTGTGAATGGCATCCAAATCTCTTTGTTAATCAAATTCAGACATCAAATGCTTTTTGGAAATATTACAACAGTTTTCTGGGACATATTTTTCTTCATTTTGTATTGTCTGAAATAGTACATTTTTAGAAGTAAATTCTTCACTAAAAAAAGACAAAAATCATACACATTTTTAATTCTCCTGGGGTTTAATGTAAAATAATGTCATAGTCCAGGTTTTCTCAAATATTTTTGAGGAAATATTTACATTTCTAAATCTTTTCATACTTTTCCCTTTTTTTTTTTTTTTTGGGGTGGGGGGATAGAATTGGACAATAATATTGAAACTCTTCCTGAAAAATAAAGTGAAACAATCTTTAAGCTTAAGTATGAGACTGACCCTCTTCCTATACAACTTTTTTTTCAGAAGCCTTGAATTTTAACATATAAATTAATGACCACATAGACAAAAAGTAAATGCAGTGGGAAAGACCAGTAATGGAACCAAAGGGTATATATATGAGACACCAAAAAAAGAAAAAGGTTAGTACATCTGGTTTTTCAATGCAATAAAAGACACCATTCTTTACTGGTCACTCCTTTTAAAAGTACTTCTGACAGCCAAGTTTTGTGAGACTTGAATTTAATAAAAACAGGGGAAATTGCATTTTCAAAGATTGTTTAATACTTGAAGTGAAACGCAGATGTTTAATTCACCACAAACACCAACATTTTGTTCATTTTACGAAGAGCTCAGATTGTTCATGTACCTCTTCTGGAGTCACATTGTATGCTCCTTTGTGAGACAACTCCCACTGATGTCAGCCTCTCCTGGCTTGTAAATTTGGCTTGACACTAACTGCACCGCACTAGTTGAGAGGACTGTGAAGCTGAAGACTTGCAAATAAAACAAGGTATGCTTTCTCATTCACAGATATCAGTTGCCTAAAAAATAACAGCATGGGTATGAGGAAAGAGCTAGAATTACTGCAGGAGGCTAAACCTAATTTTGCCAGTACAAAGAATAAACTCATTTTTCCCCTTCTGAAATAAAGTTCAGTAACAATTCAGAGTTGTATAATTACAATTATCTAATATCAGGGTAAATCAAAAGGTACAAAAAAAAAAGGGGACAGTTGTAAAAAAGGCAGGCAGATTTTCTATCACATTTCAGTTACTAGAGTCTTTGTGACCCTTTTCACTTGTAGACTTTCTCTTTAAACCTTATGTAGAAAAAAGCAAGTTGTACTCACCCTGATTTCTTTGGGCAGACTGCTTCTGTTCTGAAGCCAAAAGTATATGAATCACATATTGTACTTGATTCTTTTATTTATTCTCTATGTCTACCTTCAGCCTGGAACCTTGACCTACAAAAAATAAATACTAAGTCAGAGGGAAATGCTAGTGAGAGCTTCATCACATAAACAAAAAAAAATGCCCCCTGATCAGGAGAGCCTTCAACTACTCAAAGTGTTTCTGCAATGGTGTGCCACACTGGTTGAATATCAGGCATTAGTCCTGAAATATATTAGTCCTGTTGAAATATAGAATCATAGAATAGTTAGGGCTGGAAAGGATCATCTAGTTCCACCCCCCCTGCATGGGCAGGGGCACCTCACACTAAACCGTCACCCAAGGCTCTGTCCAGACTGGCCTTGAACACTGCCAGGGATGGAGCATTCACAACCTCCCTGGGCAACCTATTCCAGTGCCTCACCAGCCTCACAGTGAAGAACTTCCTCCTTATATCCAATCTAAACTTCCCCTGTTTAAGTTTTAACCCGTTACCCCTTGTCCTATCACTGCAGTCCCTAATGAAGAGTCCCTCCTCAACATCCCTATAGGCCCCCTTCAGATACTGGAAGGCTGCTATGAGGTCTCCACACAGCCTTCTCTTCTCCAGGCTGAACAGCCCCAACTTTCTCAGCCTATCTTCATACAGGAGGTGCTCCAGTCCCTGATCATCCTCATGGCCCTCCTCTGTACTTGTTCCAACAGTTCCATGTCCTTTTTATGTTGAGGACATCAGAACTGTACACAATATTCCAAGTAAGGTCTAACAAGAGCAGAGTAGAGAGGCAGGATGCAGCCCAGCAATGCGATAATGTCACTTCACAACTGTGAAGATCAGTTACCAGATTATGTTCCTAATTCATATTCACCTTACAAAGGAGTAACCTTACTCAGTTACAGCAGCAAATGAATGAACGCTGGAACACTACAAGCTTTTGGTTTTGCTTTGCGCATAATGGAAATGTTGCTTAAGAGTTGTTGAGCAATCTCCTGTAAGGAAATGTGAAACTATGAGAAACCTTTTCCTAAGGGATTTTCTATGTTTTGGAAAACATAGAAAGTTATAAGCTTTTATTTTTTTGTGTTTTGGAAAACATAGTTATATGCTATGCTTTGTGAGGTGTTTGAACTTGAAAATGCTGAGAGCTGGGAGGAAGTAAAGGCTTTTTTGTTTGAGTGCTTGGTTGTTTTGGTTTTGTACTTTGGGAATCTTTTTGCACTGTAAGCCAAACAAACAGTTATTTCCCTTTCCCCACAGACTAAGTGAGGTATCTTCTCTATAGTTATGGCCTCTCGACAGCACTGATAATACAAAACCCAGCATAAGGTGCATATTTGCACATCGCACAATTTCAGGTACTTTGGGGACGCCACCACACTGCAGCTGGTTTGGAAACAAATGAAGTAACTGGAAATCTTTCCCCTGACCTTACAGGGCTTTGAGAAGGCCTGTGAAGATCATTTCGTTAATCATTTCCTTTATGAACATCACCAGGAAAGTTGAAGCAAACAGGTATTTAGATTGCACAGTAGAAATAATGACAGGTTCATTGTTAAAGTGTAAGGAAACATGTCTCAGTCAGTCTTTCTGGTCCCCTATCCATTACCTCATTTTTTGGGAAGCTAATTC